TATTATTATTATTTCTTTTTTGCTTGCCAAGTGAATTTGGCTGCGCTTCAATGTTGTTGCTAATTAGAAGCAGACGCCAGCACGAGTTATCTATTCTCTGCCTCCGCCTACTCCTTCCCCTGCTCTCCTTCTTCTTCTTATTCAACTGCCCTCAATCAGTCGGCGAGTCATCCGCACTCTTGAACAACTGCGATACTTGATTGAAAATCCAGCGATTCGCATGAAAAATTTTATTTATCTTTTTTTGTAGCCCAAAATGTTTCCCTTTTGCATTAAAATGAATTTTGTAGTCGAGTGTAGCCGACTGCTTAATACCCGTTCAAGTTTTGCAATGTTGAATCTTTACTCCACGCAGCTGATGAGGGCATAAGAAAAACTATAGCAAATTCGAAAACTAATATACCCCACTTTTACATTGTGTATGTATGTGTATAAAAAGTTTGTTTATTCATTTGTCGTCTGGTTTTTGTTTTTTTTTTTTTTCTTGTCTTTTTGGGCGAAAGCATTGCTCAAGATATTTCTGAGAAATGCTGCGCTAGTCACATATCGTTCAATATGAATTATGAATTGTATTGTTTTATGCATATGTGTATGTATGAAAACAAAAGTGCGTCTCATGATGCATCTGGGCGGGTCCTACGATGCGACCACAACACGTACCAAGAGCTAAAGCCAACAGAGGCGACACCTGGCTGAGCCAGACAAAGGTGGCTCAGACACGCAGCCGGCTAAAGTCAAGGTTAGTCTGCTCCGACTGCACATCGAGTGCCACATTCATAAAGAGACTAAGCAAACCATGCGAACGGACGACCCAAGGTCATAATAACGGTAAATACTCAATGATTCATGATCACATTAAAAGAGTTTGACCATTAATCAAATTTGAGCTAATCAGAAAATAGAACATTCTGATAAGCTTATCTTTACTGTTTTAGTGTCTCGATGAAGTGGAATAATGTTTTCTATAACAATTACAGCGGATATATTGGTAGAAATTTATGATAGAATGTTTTCTATAAAATTTTTAGCCGAAATATTGGTAGAATTTTATGATAACTAAGAGACAAATAAGAGATATAATGCGGTGCTCTTCATACGGTTCAGAAATATATATACTGATGCATTTTGACAGTTGTCCTTAATTCTTCGACTTATACAATATTCTGCTTTCTCTTCTTTACTTACTATTGTAAACTAGAACGAAATTCTCATTTTCAATCCTTGATTGCAAATGGCCAAATAGATCCCCTGAAAGTATGCTTAGCAAATCAATGAAACAAATGGAAATGAAACAAGCGCAAGGCACGTTTCACTGATATTTATGCTGCCCTTAACTCATATTCTCAGCTCGTTTGAGCATTACAATAGAACTTTCAGCACTATAGATTTATTTAAAAATTTCTATTATTTATTTTATTCCATTTATTTATAGCTCTTAGTTTCAGCTAATATTCTATATATGTTTAAGAGAAGAAAAAAAGGATTGGCTTTTGATTTGTGGCATTTGATTTGTCAAGTTGATTTCCTGGTTGCATTATTCATTGCAACTAAAGAGCTCGATTTATGTCGCATTTGTTTCATTTCCATATTGTTCATTTGCTCTTTGCGTTACAAAGGAGCAATTAAATGCAAAGAAAAGTAAACAGCAGGAGGTGAAAGAAGAAGCAGCAGCAGCAGCAGTAGCAGCAGCTGCTGAAG